GAAGAAGAAGAAGAAGAAAAAGAAGAAGAAGAAGAAGAAGAAGAAGAAGAAGAAGAAGAAAAAGAACAACAACAACAACAAGAAGAACAACAAGAATAACTAACTTTCTCCCCTGTCATATCATACAATCGCCGAGATTCTCTCACCATGTTGGACTGAGTTCCTCCTCTCTTCAGCCTTCTCCCTGCCATTGAGTCTAGCACCATGGCCGTGAACCGATTGAGCTTGGCACTGGCCTCTGGGTCGCCGCCGGACTCTTCACTCTCACCCTCAGGGTACCTGGCCAGGGCTGGGCCCGCCAAAGCTGGAAAACAGTTTTTGTAAGAGTTTTACGGCACTTGGAACACAATAAGGTCATATAAGTGCCGAATATTAGAAGGGTTACAAGAGAGTGATAAACACAAACAAGAAGGAGAGGAGATAAGGACAATAGTTGTTTGATAGGAAAGAAGAAGCAAACCATACCAGAGATACTTGAGATTACGTTTTAGACCGCACTGTAGTATAATACTTCGCGTACACCATTTAGTAAAAAAACATATGACGGAGCCATAGTATAGTGTAATGCGCTGCCTTTGAATTACAAAGTTCTATCTGATACTTTTGGCCGTTTTGAGGTACTAAGACTATGAGATCAAAAGCCAAATGTTATATCGGCTATATCAAAATCGTGCAATTATTCGGAGTCGTTATCAAGGTATTCAAAGGATTGCATTTGGAAAAACAAACAAACCAGCAACACGAAACAGCCCCGACCCGACCTGATCCCCCAAAAGAGCGTAAAATAAAAACTATTACAATCTGTAAATACACCAGCAGTGCAATCGAAAAGGTAGATGGTTGGCTGGTACTCTGGTATGGTTTGCTTCTTCTTTTCAATCAAACATCTACCGTCCTTATCTTTCCTTATGTTATTATTTTCTCTAGTAATGCTTCTGATTTTCGCCGCCTATATAACCTAGTTGTGTTGCAAGTGTTGTAACAATCTTAGTAAAACTACGATAAAAAAGTTGTGGTCGTGTCTATAACTGTGGTCTTCACATCTGTCCGCATTTCTTTCCCTGGATACCTCTCACATTATTTACGACAAAAAGAAAAATGTATGAGATATGCTTTACCCAATCCCTTCCCTACCTGTCGCTTTCCTCGTGTCTCCTGCTTCTCTTCCTCCTTCTCTCCGTCTTTACGTGCCTCCACCTCCTCTTTCGCCTAATTTCATTGTCTTCCTAATCTCCTCTTCTCGTCTTACTTCTTCTCCTTCTCTTTACCCCCCCCCTTCACTGTCTCCTCACCCCTTCCTCCTCTCCTCCTCCTCCTTCCCGCCCCCTCCTCCACTTCCTCCCTCTCCTCCATACCCCCTTTCCTATTTTTATCTTTTCCTCGCCCTTCTTCCCTCTTCCGCCTCATACGCACATCCTCCTCCCCCTCCTTCCTTCCACCTTCCATCCTTCTTTCTACCCCACTCCTCCTTCTCCTCGTCCTTCTCCACCTTCTCCCCCTCCTCCTCTACCCTCTCCTCCTCCTCCACCACCTCTCCTCCTCCTCCACCTACCACCTCCTCGTTTCACTTCACCCTCTACAGCCTCTTCTTTCTTCTTTCTTCTTCTTCTTCTTCTTCTTCTTCTTCTTCTTCTTCTTCTTCTTCTTCTTCTTCTTCTTCTTCTTCTTCTTCCTTCT